GGGCGGCGGACGGGTCACGGGGAAAAGAGCGGCGGCTGCGACCTCGGCCCCCTTCCCTGCGACAGTCTCGATTGGCTCCGCTTAGATCCGGGGCAGCAGCTTCTCGATGAACTCCTTCACCGCCATCATCTCCTGCGGAGAGCACGGAGCCCGTCACGCCTTGCCCCAGGGATGGGGACACGCGGGCTGCGCAGCCTCCCCGCAGGGAATTCGGGAATAAACACACATCCCACGTGTTCCGGACTCCACAGTCTCCCTGCCCTGCCCAACCCACCGTGCTGGGGTCAGTGCCAAGGGCAAGACCAGCCCCTGACACCCCGTCCCCTCTCCCTGCCCCGAGGCACTGACCTGAGGACAGGAACTGTGCATCACGCCGGGGTAGGTTTTGAACTGGACCTTGGTGGGGGTGACGACGGACTTCAGCTTCTCAGCAGTGAGGGCCCCGAAGCGGTCTCCCTGCCCTGCCCAACCCACCGTGCTGGGGTCAGTGCCAAGGGCAAGACCAGCCCCTGACACCCCGTCCCCTCTCCCTGCCCCGAGGCACTGACCTGAGGACAGGAACTGTGCATCACGCCGGGGTAGGTTTTGAACTGGACCTTGGTGGGGGTGACGACGGACTTCAGCTTCTCAGCAGTGAGGGCCCCGAAGCGGACAGGGATCATGGGGTCCATCTCCCCGTGGCACTGCAGGATGGCAATGTCCTTGTTCACACCGTTATTCGCTGCCTGCAGTGAGGAAGGAAGCGCTCAGGGGTGCCCACGAGAGGGGTGGCCCAGTGGGGAACGGGGCAGGCGCTTTACCTGTGTCCCCAACACGTCACATGAGCTCAAGAGGGCTGTGGGAGAGCTGCTGGCATGGGACCCCCTGCCCTGCCACCAAACACCTCCTCCCACGCTGCCACCACGACTGAGCTGCTGCCCAGCAGGTGCTAGGAGCCCCGGGGAGCAGCACAGCTTGCAGATGCCCACACCAGATCGGTGGCAGAGCCCTCATCTCTGCTGTGCCCTCACCTGCCCCAGGAGCAGGGAGGTGGGATTAAGCCCCCACCCCAGGCACCTCGTGCCTCACCTCCAGCAGCCCCAGGGTCGCTGCAGCCAACTCCAGACGGGAAAATCCACCCCCCCACACCAACCCTCCCTGCAGACACGCCGGCAG